TKKRRTTTTTTTTTTWAAWTTTTTTTCTCTTGACCACRACTTCGASRGTGACARAACTTTTTGGATAAAGCATAGGGAAGTTTTACTTTTAAAAGCTTTTAATTTCAGTTAGTAGTCTCCCTTATGTATAGCTAGAAAAATTAGGAAAATGTTAAATTCAGATGTGCTCTTGGTCCTTAATCTTCTCTGTGCGGGTTCAGGTCATCTCACAACATGCATTTCTTGAAGTAGACACTGTTTTAGGTTACTTAAGCTGAGAGCAACAGGAAGGTAACAGTCCTACAACAGAAGGCGGCCCTTTGGACTGCCCATGTTAGTCTAGCTTCAAAAGCAGCTTAAATTTAGTTCCCCTGGAAAGCCCCAGTTGCAGTCTGTGAAGCCGCTGCCCGAGGCGGGAGGAAAATGTGAGCGCGGCGCGGGGAGGCCGGGGAGGCCGCGGCCCTCGGCGCTCGCAGGCCGCGCGGCGCCCAGCATGCACATCTTCAGCAGGTTTCATTACGTGTGGGAGCTGGTGAGTTAATTTATCGGGCTTTTTGGATAAAATGAGAGCTCAGCATCTGTACAACCATCTTGGGTATTTTTTTTTTTTGACGCATGATGAGATAAAGTGGAGACTTCTCTGCTTTTTGAAAGTGTATTAAAGCTGTCTAACACTGTTAAAACTACCTTGATATTTTATTTTTTTGCTTGAGGTGCTGATTCCTCCTTTGTTTCCCATACATAATTTAATGATTCTATTACTGTATGATTTACGTAAATTATGAAGGAGTAATGCATTTGAGTGTGAACTTGCTCTGTCCTAATAGGTGCCTTGGACTGCTTTGAGAAGTCTTACTGTGTTAGAGAAATCCTACTGCTATTCAAAGCTCAGGAAAGATGCAAGGAAAAGATGTTAACGTTTTTAACATGGAATTAGCTATAAAGCAGAGGGCGTAYTAATAACGCTGGTAGCTATTAAAAATTATATTAATATAAAACGTGCTAATCTAGTAATGGCACTTTTTTGCAGTTTCTCCTAGAAAATATCTTAAGTTTTTTCTCTAGAATTTAGTTAAAGCTATAAGGAATAGACACTTGGAAACTTTCTCTATGAAACTCTAGCAGTTTTGCATTTCCTTCTTCATTATGTGATACTCCATTTCTTGATGTTTTTTTCTTCTTGTATCTTTCCTAGCTCTGAAATACAACCTTTCTGATCCAGAGACTATTTTTCTGTCTTCCCTCCTCCTCCTCCTCCCCTGCAGTCTTGAAAAGATGGTTGGTAAAATAATTAAATAAAACAATCTTACTGTTCTGCATCTTCCAGAGTAAAAATAATCTTCAGCATCTTCATCTCCTAAAAATAGTATCTTATAAAGTGCAGAAGTGGAGACTAGTGAATGTCACAAGCAAAAYGTAATTCTTGAATGTTTACTCTTTTTGAACTAATGCCACTAATATTTGAAGCTTCATTTGAGAAAACAATGTTTCTTCCTTTTTTGTTTCTTTGTGCTAGGATTACTCCAGTGACGATACTAAATTAGAGTACAATGTAGATGCAGCCAATGGCATCGTTATGGAAGGTTATCTATTTAAGCGAGCCAGCAATGCCTTCAAGACATGGAACAGGTAATTCTTGAGAACCTCACTTTGGTAGCCTGTAATGACACTATTAACAAAGCTAGATTCTGCTTTGACTTGCAGCCCCTGTTGTCCACTGATTCTACAGATTTATCCTAGAAGCTGAACTTCGAGAAAACATTTAAATTGCTCAGTTAATTACAGTAGAGATTATAATTGAAAGCCATTTTATARTTATTATTTTTTGTTGTTTAGTTCTATTCCTAGTTGTTTGCAASTATTTTTTTGTAAACGTAATTACATTACGTTATTGCTTTGCTTTGGGGTTGATAGAGGCAATTTTTATATTGCATATTGTATGCAATCAGAAATGCATCATAAGTATTCTCCTTCCATTTGGATTTATATCTCTTAGTCTAATACACATCTTTYCTTAAGATGGTACAGGCTAGGAGTAGTTATTGTCTGTTTTCACTACSTAAGACTGATAGGATGCTTTGTTGATACAGTGCTTGAGAATTTTTTTTTTAAGTTCACCATGTATTAAGGGCTAGAGGGTATTTCCAGCGCCTTGGTAGAACACAAAAGACTGCATTATTGCTTTAAACTGGTTTTGTCCATAAAAGCTAAAATGAAATCCTGCAGCAGTAAATATGTACAAAAATATATGTTATCAGAGGAAATTTTGGGCTCAAATTTGAGAACCCAAGAAGGACAAGATATTTTAAAAGTTCTGTTCGGGTAGGTAGACTGCTTTTTCTTAGGTTTTTGCCCATACTTTATATCTGAGGCAGCCAACTGAAASAGAGTTGGAAGCAATTGTCTGGAAAGGAACACTGGAATTTCCTGATGTTCCCAACCTCGGGCAGCAGCACTGACCTTCCTTGCGACCTGGCAGTTYCAGTGATAGTTGTAATTTGTGTTTCTATGGTCATTTCTTGTTTCCCTGTGTTAGTGTTGGTTGATATGTTGACATCTCCAGATATTTTAAAATACTTAAGGCAATTAAATAATAATTGCAGTTGCAAGGACTAGTTTATCCTTCACGGCATTAAAAACATAAGAGGAAATGAAGTGACACTGACTTTTGACTTGATCTGAGACACATCAGTGTGATCCTAGCTAACAAAATAAAGACCATCCTGTGATGCTTGTGTGTACTTGTTTTGGTTTGGGAAAGCATGGACATGAGACTGAGTGTGCTGGGAAAGTTGAGCTGCTGAGGGGGAAAAAGAAAAAAACGTGGCAAATGTGTTCCAGTAGAGGAAAACTTGTTTTATTTTAATCCAAGCTGACTTCTTCCTAGTACAGTGTATTTTCTGCCCGRGGCAGTTGGCCGCTTGGGTACAGTTGTCCAGAGACTTTTAGTTAATTTGAGACTTTTGCAACAAGTTCCCCAGTTTTGAACTATTCTGGTTTTAAAAATGTGGTAGTGTGTTGTGCAGTCTATGAGAACTATTGTCAGTGTGACATGACTGTATTTGTGGCTTCTGTTTGTTCCTCTCTGCAAGAGCTAAAGATTTTTGGGGATCTCTTTATAGTGTGGCTGAATGGACAGTCTATAACGAGTTTGGTTATTTCAGGTAAAAGTTTAGCGGAAACCAAATAATATATTTATAATAAAGAGCCTCACAGCAACAGGTTTTGAGACCTACTGTTTGAATATATTTTTATCTTTTAGTAGATTATGTCTGTGTTTTATAGTACTGAAGTCGGAAACTGAAATCAGTTGCATTTATTAGTGTGGAGCTGTAGGTGGAAAACTGTTTTGTTCTCTATTTAAAAAAGCAAATCAGTTATAGATAAAGGTATGCACAAATAAATGTGTGAGGGGAGAAAAGCCTCTAGCAAATACTGGTGTATTCCTTTTTTTTCCTCTAGGTTGGATTCATTAAACATTCTCCTTATTTCTGCTGTATTTTCAGATCATGCTAATTCTTTGCTTATTTTGCTCATATTGCATTTTCATTCCTTTTCCATCTTTCCCTTATGTTTTAATCCTACCCCGTTTTTTCACATGACAGGAAAAAGCCAGATGACATCAGGTACCAAACAGCTTCTTTTATACCTTCCCAATATCTCTTTGGCACGCGAAAAGCTCTTGATTAACCCTGCATCTAATTTTGATTACTTGCAATGGATGTAAAGTGGCTAAGAAAAATAACAGAAGGATTCTGCCTGGGATGACAGTGCTCCTGCTACTCAACACCTTTAAAAGAGATGGAAAGATTGWTCACATGCTCAGAAGTTTGAGTGCAGAAACTAAATTTACAGTCACCTTATTTCTTTCATAACTAAAAATAATTCTATATTTTGCCTTTTTCTAATTTGAGTTGGTGGGATTTTTCTCATCAACTGCATTTGGAATTAGAAATGGCACTTTTAAATGTTGTGCAATCTTAATCCGTTTTATTTGCATGCTATTGGCAAGCAAAATTATTCCTCTTTGAAAACTAAAATTATTCCAATCATATCTTTGAGTCATTTTTTTCCTCTTGATTTTTATTCTCCCTTCTCAGAAATTTTAAATGTTCTTCACTTTTTATATCTCTTCTACTTAAGTTGATTTTTTTAGATGTGTAGGTAAAAATGAGGGGAAAAAAMCCCCAAGTTTCTAAATTGAAACAGCTTCATTTAAATACTGCCATACATACAGTTGGTCAGCATGAGTTACTTCAAGTATGTTTCTTCCCCAAGTATGTTTCTTCCTTCACTGTGCTTTTCTCTAAGTTTTCAGTGACAAAAAGACAAATTTATGAAAACTTTGATATCCTCGGTACCTACAGCACAAGCAATGGTAAAGATTTAATTCTTCCGAGAGGGTAGACGGGGTATATCCTTGTAACACCTTCAGGCCATACGAGATTATTCAGAAAGCTGGGACCCCAAAACCTTGTTTCTTTGGGCTCAGAAAAATGGTTGTGGTGCAGACGTGTTGAACCAGGGACTGACCGTGTTCCTTGATACTGAAAGCATGTAATGAAGTGGCTTTCCCCTCCTGCAGCCTGAATTTACARTTTATAAACTCCTTTATATCCACTTTATCAGAATGGGGCTTACTTATTCTAATGACTCTCTAAATATGTAAGTGTACAACAAATAAAGCACTGTATTAATGAAATTAATTAATTGGCCATACTGCTTAACGGTTATTCCTAGGGATTTGCTCCATTGCATGTTATCTCAGGGCAGTGCTGCATTTTTCCTTTGCCTCGTAGGCACTGCTTTCCATGTTTCTAATTGGTGTATGTTCAAAAGCAAAAAAAAATAAACCTGACTTTATTTTCCTTTTCTGGTCTGCTTTTTAGCTGAACTATGTATTTTAAATATTAGCATAACCTCCCTTATGCTTGGATTAGAGGCTTAGTTACTGCATCTGGTTGTATTTTKTTATTTCTTCAATAGATGGTAAAGGTGATACCTCTTAAATAGCAGTGACCGCTATTGTTGTGGATAAAATATCTTGTGAAAATTTGAAAAAGTAACTTTTAAATTATACTGTTTAATTATGTTAGCCTAAATAGATGACCATTATTACATTAGAAACCCAGTATTAAAGGAGATCCTGTTGTTGCTTTAAAAACAAAACCCCCAAAACTGCACAACATTTGAAAAGAATAATTGTTAAAAGGTAGAATCGCATCTGTCTGCTAAGTACTAACTTTTATAACAGATGCTAGATTTTCCAATATGGATCTAACATTTTTGTATGTCTGTTATATATCTCTCACCCTTGTCTTTCCCTTGACTTTTCTGCTCTGCTTTCCCTGAATGGCCTGTGGTTTTTGGAATCTATGGAGCCTTCTTGTCACTAACCGAGTGAGCTGCAGCTTYGTGTTCAGCAGCCTAGGGAATTTGCAAGGGAACTGCGAGATAAGGAGTTGCAGGCGTCTTCCAAACACTGAGAGCAGTAGCCAGGGAGCAGTGCAGAACGTACGTGACGTGCTCATCACATCCCCAGTGGTGTGAGAGCAGGTATTGGAGCTAATGGCCTTCATATCACTGCTGAATTATTTTTATTTGTTCTAACTTTTCCAATTCAAAAAAAAAAAAAAAAAAAAAAACCTGTTAACTTTTGTTTTGTTGGGGGGCATCCCAGGAGAGCCAGAAAGGGTTAAAGATATTTGTTAATTTATTTTATATTTGATGACCTGTTGAACCTGGTTGAAGGTCTGAGATAATTTTTCCTGAGATAATGAGTAACTTCCTGCTTCTCCACTGTTGCAGCATTATGAATTGCATCTTATTTTTCATACTGAATTTGTTAGTGAGGGATATACTGTTCTCTTTTCTTTTTTCTGCATTATCTTTTAATAGATTTTTATAGGATGCCTTTAATCTCTTTGAAGTACTTTTCTATGAAATTGAATCTTAAATTCGGAACCTGCTTGTAACAGTTAGATTTTGGGTTTTTTTGCTCAAACTTTTTTTATTTCGTCCTCTAAGATTTTAAGAAATGTCAAATATAGTGAGACATTAAATACCCATATCGAGTAGCAATGCTGTGCCTTAGTGAATTGTTTTCTAGTTCTATTCTTAAAAATATTTTGGGAGTGGGGAGTTTACACGGCGTTAGGTCTTCTAGTTTGTCGAAGTATTTCAATTATAAACCAAGTAATCACTTAAAACTTTAGCTTGCTGTTAAAAGTACTTAACCGTGTGTTTTTTGAAATGAAAACGGTTTGTACGATAGCTTAACTAATGTTGTGATAACACAAATGTGTTTGTTTAGGCCTTAGATTATTTAAACCTTGCTTTATCGTTTCTGTTTTGTCTCTGCTCTCTTCTCGTTTCATTCTTCTCACGGAATCCTTGTCCGGCCTGACTGCAGCATCACACTCGTGTTTTCTTTGCAGTGTTTCTCTGTAGACTGTGTGTRAGCAACATTGCAGGCAAATACACCCCGTAAAATCAATTATGTGCTGTTTGAATGTCTTTTCATTTAAATAGGCGCTGGTTCTCAATACAAAACAACCAACTTGTGTACCAGAAGAAGTTCAAGGTGGGTWTCGAGAAGGGGTTGGGATGGTTGGGTGGGGATGAAGGTTCTCTGCTGGTCGAGCGGTGGCACCAAGTCCTTGCACTGGCATCCTGGGTGCTCTTGATCCACCCACTTCATCTTTTAGATTAATTTTTTCCTTTTTTTTAAAAAAAAAATGAAAGCAGTACCTACAAATTTGGAGTCGTGCATGGTAACCTGTAGCCACGAACTTTTTGTTACTGTGTTTTACCTGCTAGTAGAGAAGAGCCATAAAGAGCTATTAGGAGCTGTTGGTCCCAGAAGGCTTGTACACATTTGCTGGTGGATTTACTTGGAGTAGTTGTGTTTAACTTCTTAAAGTCTTGAATTCCCCATTACCAGATTTCCATGCCCAATTAAAGCCCTTAAATAAATAAATAARTAAAATCAATTGCCAGGAGATGAATGCATGAAAAATCTTTGCTGTGAAACAGTTAGGGATAACACATACCTGTGTCTGATATTGCCAGGCTGCAGCAACTGGTAGATGTTGGTGTTTTTGCCAGTGAAAGAGCACAGTTCTTGTGATGACAGCTGCTGCTTACTACAGCTGCAAATGCACCTCAGTGGCATATTTTTCTTAATATTATTTCGCACAAGCCACTTTTAGAAATACTATTCTTCTAAAAATACTTAATCCATAACGAATATTTTGACTCCAAGTATCCAAGCCCTCGCAGCCCAGCTTGTCTTACGTATGTGCWGCTTATGGTGTTGCAAAGTTCACTCGCGAAGTCACATTTTTTTTCTGATTGATTTGCAAGTTCGCTGCACCTCTTTTCAGATCTTACCTTGGAATCCTTTGAAAACTTCTCACCGTGTTAAGCTATTGATTATTTATTCTATTTGACTGTAGTTTAAAAGGCATTCTCCAAAGACTATATAAATTTTCAAAAAATATAACTTAAAAAGCTAAATATTTCTTGCATCATAGCTACTTAAGTAAGCAGATAAGATGAAATTTTATTTCTATGGAAAAATTTGTCTTTAATGAACGGAGAAATAGAAAAAGAAACTATGAGCAACTCTTTCGCTTGTTTTTGTTTTTCTTCTATCTGTGACTTACTCATTTTATCTTTTTTCTTCAGGATAATCCCACGGTGGTGGTTGAAGATTTGCGACTTTGTACAGTTAAACACTGTGAAGACATAGAAAGGCGTTTCTGTTTCGAGGTGGTTTCACCAACAAAGTAAGGAGAAGTGAAGGAGCTTGTCACGTAAAAAAAGTTACATTCAGTTGTCTTGAAATACCAAATGTCCCTTGGGACAGTTCAAGACAGGAAAAATATGTGAACAATTTTGTTGTCTGAAATTGTGGATCAAGCATAAGTGATGCTGTGAGAAGTGTTCCTAGTATTTAGTTGACTTTTGATACTCAAGTAAACATGCATTCTTGTGACGTATGTTTACAGAGTTGTTGGTGGTTGGGGTGCTACGACTTAGTAGTAGCTGGCACTGTCAGGCTGCTTGGTAGCGTAGAAAATAGTCTCAGTTACTCCAGATAATTTGTAACTCRCACAGTGAGATCAAGCATGGGATGAGGCAGGGATTCAGTAATGTAAAATTACACTTCAGGACACTAAATGAAACTACCAAATAGATATATTTATTTCAGCTCTGTCAGCACGATTTGTTGGTTGTATTTGGAGAAAAATGGCAGCTGTGCCAGAGCAAAGGCAGGATGTGGATTTTATATCATTTATTAATGATATTATGTCATTCATTAATGACATTAGCCATGTTTAATCTGGCCAACCTGCTTCTAGGTTAGGATGTTATCAACAGTATTTGCTCCTATATATTGTCCTTGTCATAGACAGCAGTCCTAACGTTTGCATCTTCATCTGTGATTCCTTTTAACATGCATTTTGTTCTTGTCTGTCTGCGCTTATTCAGATCATAAGAGTTGGAAGAATTTATATGCTTCCTTTGACAGTTGGAGAGCAAAGTAGCTCCTTGTGTTAATGGAAAGCTGCAAAACCATTTGCTTTTGAAATCAGGGAATTAACTTTGTTTTCATGGACTGGTGCTTGCATTTTATGTACATAGTCATGGAGGTAAATTGGAGGTGAGGGTATAAAATGAAAAATCCAGGATAATAATAGTTAAACAAGTCTCATGGTCACTTGAATCGATTACCTGTGAATAGTTTTGAAACAAGGAATTTGATGGTTATAAAGGCTCAGATGCATCGTTACTCTGGCTTTAACTTTAAAATCAATGGCTTTAACTTTCACGAGAGTCTGAATCTTAGCAAGCAGTGTAATTTTTGATGTGAGCTTGATGGTTCTCTGAATCTGAGTACCTGTCTGCTTTGTTGCAGAAGCTGCATGCTTCAGGCTGACTCGGAAAAGCTGCGGCAGGCTTGGATTAAGGCTGTTCAGACCAGCATTGCTACAGCATATAGAGAGAAAGGGGATGAATCTGAGGTAAGTTTTAAACCAAACTAGATCCTGACAAGGAAAGAAAAATAGAGAAAACTCCCTTTGTAAGGTGGGCTGAAGAAAGAATCAACTGCGTGTCTCCTCTTGGAAATGCAATGAAATCTTAAAGGCTAGATTTTTCTCCCTTCCCATTTCATCTTACTAATGTTGATGTGATTTTCTGTAGTGCAGTTCAAATTCATGAGATCAGTGGATACTGTTATGTTCAGTTCCAGTAACAAACTGAGGAGCTTTTCAGTTCTGTGGTTTTCCTAGGCTTTAAATGGAAAAGTTTCTTTTCTTGAGCTCCATTACACAGTATCTGCTGGATCTTTTTTAATTTAGTCTCATGCACATACTCCCCCTCTTTCTCTCTCTTTGGATTTTTTTGTTTTGTTTTTAGAAACAGGAAAAGAAATCATCCCCATCTACTGGAAGCCTAGAATCTGGCAGTGAGACAAAAGAGAAGTTGTTGAAGGGAGAAAGTGCTCTCCAGCGGGTTCAGTGCATTCCTGGTAATGCTGCCTGCTGTGACTGCGGCTTGCCAGATCCTCGCTGGGCCAGCATCAACCTAGGAATCACGCTGTGCATCGAGTGCTCTGGGATACACAGGTTGGTGAGAGTTTCAAAAGTCTGATTTAGGCACTGTCTTAATTAGGAAGTCTAGTGTTTGTGTCCCTAAATGTATACAGAAACAAGATTAAAGACACTTATTTTAAGCCGACTTAAGGTAGTGGCTCCATCTGCATAGAGCTGTCTGAAATACGACATCGCATGCAGGTATGAACTAATACTTCTTTCTATGCTGATTAGGAGCCTAGGAGTCCACTTCTCAAAAGTAAGATCTTTAACACTGGATTCATGGGAACCTGAACTTCTAAAGGTAGGATAATACCTTGGAAATGGGAGTGTGTTTCRTATTTATACTGCAGATCTACAGCCAGGGCACCAGAAACCTTAATGCAAAAAAACTTGTCTTCAAACATATAGTATGTTTAGTGCTTGCGAGTAGAAAATGTGTGTGTGTGTTTGTGTGTGTGTTTGAAGCTGAAGCAGTAAATTTCTTCTGATGTTTCTGACATTTAAAACTGAAATGTGTTTCTAGACTAGTAATRTAATAAGCTGAAAAAAGATGAAATACTTTTTCAAAGGAAATGATTGTGCTTGGGAAATCTGGATGCCAAGTCTTAGAGTGGGATCTGGATATTGCAGACTTACCTGGCTTTTAGAGCTTTTTATTTTTTGCAGTTGCTGTCATTTGCTATCTGTGTGCAAAAACACGATTTGGGAGCGTGGCTGGAAAATCACATTGTGAAATACAGAAATAGGAATTGGAGCATTTGTGCAGTTGAACAGTTTATGCAAAGTTTATTTCATTATCATGAAATAAACCCATATTTAATTTTCTCAGTGAACTCTTACTAGTGAAAAATGTTGAGGCATAAAAATAGGCAGAGTGATATATAAGCAAACAACTATCTATAATTGTTTGAATTTATTTTTGCTTTATAGCTTATGTGTGAATTAGGAAATGATGTCATAAATAGAATATATGAAGCAAGGTTGGAAAAAGTGGGAGTGAAGAAGCCACAAGCTGGAAGCCAGAGGTAGAATTTACTTTGATTTCATTTATTCATCTTTTTATTATGTTAAAAATATTAATTTAAGCAATTTGCATCATCCTTTAATAAAAAAATACAATTGAATTTATCCCTTTTTAATAACTGATCTTCATCCTGTTCTGTACCACTGTCTGAGTTGTATTTTTCAAATACTGTGTGATTAGCTCATGGACTAATATATTCATCTGGTGATTTATTATAATAAATAGAATATATTTTATAAGCACAGAAAATTATCTGTGYTTCTAATAATAGATAGAATAAAATGATAACTTACCCATTCATGGGATTTTTGTGTATGACAGACAGGAGAAAGAGGCATACATCAAATCAAAATACGTGGAAAGGAAGTTCGTAGAGAAGCAGCTTGCACAGGTACCTCTGCTTGAATCTGGAACGAAAACATTGCCTCAGAGTCAAGAGGAGAAGAGGCAGAGCGGCGCTGAGAAATCCCTTTTGGCAGGTGAACAAAGTTCAGTGTCCCCAAAAGGTATTTAGGGGCTTCTCTTGTTAGATGTAGTAAACGTTCTCTTTGAAGTGACTTTCTGTGTTTACTGATTTGCTGCCTCCCACAGGTAAATTTAGAACCCCTTTCCTAGTGGGTTGTAGCTTAGTTCAGAAGCATAGGAGAAAAAATGGCAAGTTTTTAACTTGTTCAGAGTTGTGCATTATTTTAGGTGGGAAGAGTTTGTGGAGTGGGGTTGCTTATSATTCAGGAACATATTAACCACCTTCTTTCCTCGTATTTTCATCCTTTTAATTTTTTCCAATAACGTTCTTTCCTGCCCTGCCCCTTCCTTACTGCCTGCTTTGTGCTTTGCTAACTTGCATGTCCCAGCGGTTGCTGTAAGTAGCGACGAGGCGAGGCGGGAGTCTCTGTTCTGTCCTGATGAACTAGATTCACTCTTCTCCTACTTTGATACTTCTTCAAAACTACGTAGTAGTAAGTACTATGGCTACGGCGTGTTCAGTGTTTGCACTGGTGATCCATTGTGTGTTGTGGCCATCTCCCCGCCTTTAATCCATTGTCTCCAGGCTACTGCATTGCTTCGTGTTCTCATGAAATAACTTAAGCTTTTTTACTTATCCTGATCCTTCACCACCTGAATAATCTTTGTGAAATTTSTTTTTGTTTTAAATGTTATGGCTGAATGTGTGATTTCAGATCATCTACGAAAATGTTAAGAATATTGAGTCATGGAAAAATAATGATAAATTCAGGACCAAGTATAAGAGCTTGCTTTATTATCATGGCGTCTGTGAAGAGTAGATAACTTATAGCATAGTAATTACCCTTTCTTCCCCAAACAGTAAGAAGCAGTGACAGCGGGATCCATCAGAGTGCTGATGACAGCAGAGAACACCTTGCCTCAACCATATCAGCCAACAGTTTGTATGAACCAGGTGTGTTAGGCTTTGCTTTTCAAATGAAGGTTTAATCACTTCTTTTTGATAGCAAATAGATTACAACTTGGTGATACAGCTCATGTGTCATCTATCCTGACTAACCGAAACATCACTTTAACAAGTAAGGTAGTTGCTCAAGTAAACTTTCTTTTAAGCTTTGTGGAAAGAATAACATAGAATACATGACTGATCTAAAAGAGTTTCAAGAATACATCTATTTTTCCTCTTGAAAAATAGGTAATATAATAGATAAAAATAGATAATATAATATAAAATAGGTAATAGTGATTAGAGTTTGGATGAAGGATATAGATGGATACCAGTAACATAAATAAGATCCAACTGGGCAGTACTAACTTTGTGAAGTGTCTGTGCCTGATTGCTGGAGTATAGCTCAAGGTGCAGAATATTGTGTTCTGCAAAGTCTGAGCTACCATATGCTAGACAAGTGATAACTTCGGTCAGAATTTAGGAAGTTTCTTGACAAAAGCAAGARCTAGATAAGATTCTTTACATACACGTGCACACAAACATGTGCACACGCACACATATATATATATGCGTGTGTGTGTGTGTATATATATATGTATAAAGTTTATTTTCTCTTYCAGAGGCAGATAAGCAAGAGTCTCCTGTGCTGTGTGATTCCAAGCAGTCCAATCCAGGGCTGCAGCTTTATCGAGCAGCYTTTGAGAAGAATCTGCCCGATATGGCGGAAGCTTTGGCCCACGGAGCTGAAGTGAACTGGGTCAATGTAGAAGAAAACAAAGCAACGCCGCTCATTCAGGCCGTGCGGGGGGTACGTGGTCTGCAGCAGAGCCACTGAAGTGGGGGAGAAGAAAAGCTTCTACAAATAATACAGAGATTCTCTGTCGCAATTCCTTTTGAACTTAMCCAACTATTGAAAGTTCAGGGAATAGTGAAGTTGTCTTTACACAGTTCTCTCAAAAYTCTTCCTGAGCCCTTTTTTTAGGTTACTGTTTTATTTGGGGTTATATAACCCAGCAGTGTGTTAAGATGAGAGGCAGATCCCTTTCATTTTCCTTACTACATGGCACAGTGGTGAGAAGATGGAACAGGATTTCACTCTGTTTCTAGAGATTTGGCACCAAGTTGTTTCTCTGCTTTCATTCCATAGGGCTCTTTGGTTACTTGTGAATTCCTACTGCAGAATGGTGCCAATGTGAACAACAGGGATGTGAAAGGAAGAGGACCCCTGCACCATGCCACAGTTCTAGGACACACTGGGTAAGTCACTGTTACAGAACTTGTAAATGTCCACCTTTGCCCTGGTAGTTAATTTGAGGCTCCTTCAAATCCCCAAATACTTGGACCTTTTAAGATATTTCAGATAATATAGAATTTTCTTAACATTTTTTGATGAACAAGGAAATAATATTTTAAGTCAGCTGCTTTATCTAGCAAGACGCTCCTATAAACACTTAAATGCAGTCTTAGAAATACTGTGGTCTTCTAGTGAAGATATGTGACATGCATTTTAGTTTTTGGAGAATGAGAAGCAGATGGGAGAAATAGGTGGTGAATGAGAACCAGGGCTGTTTCTGGTTACTTCTCCTGTCTCTTGCCCAGTGTATCTCATTTCAAATTGTACTGTGTACAAAATGTATACATTTTGTCTGTTGGAATTCTGAAACTCTTATGTGCCGGCTGCATATAAATGAGAACATAATAATAGGATTCGTGGTGCCAAGGCTCTTTGCCTGTCTGCATCCTTATGAGTGCCACTTGACAGCTTGAGAGTCATGAAGAGGTCAGCTCTGTCATTGTGCTCTCTCTGTATAGATGAATAATGGCAATAGCACAGAAGAAATACAGAATCAGTCTCCACTGGGTGTAACGGACATCAGCTTTTCAGGATCCTATAGGATACACTGATGTATCCTGCTCACTGACTGTCTTCCATAATGGTAAAATGCATGAGAATGGATGAGGTCTTCTGGTTCTGCAGTCTAAGATGACACGGGAAACTAGAAACCTGCTGTTAAATGGTTTAATTCCTCTCTGCCCCAGTRTGATTTGACAATCTGTTCTTCTAATGTGGATTAAATAACTGTAGATTTCTTTTTAATGCAGTGTTAATGCAGCACCACTGACATAGTGCTCCTCTGACCTGCTCAAGAGACTTTAGTGGTTTAAGCTGAACATGCTGCAACCAGTCTGTTTGTTCACTTGCTGTTGTTTTCTTTTGTTGATGTGGAAATTATTCTTCAATGTTTTTTTTAAACAGACAAGTATGTTTATTCCTAAAACGAGGAGCAAACCAGCATGCTACTGATGAAGATGGGAAAGATCCATTGAGTATAGCTGTAGAAGCTGCAAATGCAGATATTGTAACATTGTAAGTCACTTACTTTGTTTTTAACTGGATAACAGGTTTTCCTATTCTGCTTTCAAGTTTAATGTGTAACACATGGCAAAATTCTTTTGCATAGAAACATAGAGAGCAAAAAAAAATGAAGTAGGTGCATTTCAATAGATGACCTCACTAATGAGCTTCAGAAACAAACTGTAGTTTTTGGATTGCACTCCCTTTCACTGCCTTAAACTGTAGTTTTTGGATTGTACTCCCTTTCAGTGCCTTAAACATGACATTCTTCTTTTGTTTTCTAAACCGTAGGTTGCGTTTAGCAAGGATGAATGAAGAAATGCGTGAATCGGAAGGACTGTATGGACAGCCAGGTCAATACTCTACTAATAATCATACTGAGATGCAGTATAAGAAATGTATTCAGGAATTTATCAGTTTACAATTAGATTCCTAGTTTTTGAGCAAAATTTAAAGTAGCTTCATACAAAGTGTTTTTTTATAAACAGCATATACGTGTTAAAGCAACTTGTTGAAATTCATTGTTGTGCTGTCTCAGATTATTCAGAGAACCTAAAAGGCGTATTTAAAAAAACATATCTGTAGTCATGTATGTTAGTACCTGCATTACCGATCTGATTTGTTGTTAGCTCTTTACGTTTTTTTTTCTATTGACATTCCAGTGAAATTCATGCACTGTTAGGATTTACCTGATGTTATTTGATAGCAGCATTTAACCTTGGTTGCTCAGCAACAGTCAAGGAGTTTCTTATTACAGGATATCATATTTTTTTTCCTGTGGACTTTTTAAAAATCAAACATGCCCCAAACTTGCACACTGCATAACAAATATTTAAACAATGCTAGGCAGAAATAGAAATGGATTATTTCTTCAAAATTTATTTTTAATATTTTGTTTATGAAATGAAAAAACTCAAACAATATAAGTACATATGTTTTGTACAAAACTGTCAAGCACTTAACCCAACTGTTACAAGGAAGTAACAAATTCCACTTAATGAATATGTACAACTTACTCTTGGGCACTTGATCCCGATTTATGTTGTGTTCTAATGTGGTATTTATTCAAGCCATTTCTTCTACTATGATATACTTCTAAAGGACTGRTTCCAAACTCATGCAAATATCAATAATGATTCATAGAATCATAGAACCCTTAAGGTTGGAAGGGACCTTTAGAGATCGTCTAGTCCAGCCCCCCAGGATTGTATCCAAGCGGGACCTGAAGATCTCCAGAGAAGGAGATTCCACAGCCTCGATGATTAAGTTTCAGCTAAAAGCGCGTMATAACTGGCAGTAGTGAAACCAAAACTGTCCATTTTCAAGGCTTGATCTTTCATGGTGCTGAGTACTCTTGGCTCGCTACTGAGGAGCCCTTATGTGATTGCCATATATTTATAAAGACTTTTTGCTTATATCCTTTACCAGATTGAGACTGGGATATCCGCAACCTGTAAGGTTGAGTCTCATGCCAATATCTCAGATGAACTCTGTAAAATAAATCAAATTTATGGTATGACAAAGGTTCTCCCAAAGGAGAAGTTTTTCAAATTGATCTTTAAACAAAACTCAAGACATTTGGATTACAGCAAAAGTGCTCTAGACAGCCGTTTGAAGAATTTTTCTGGAGAAGCACCAGATGATTAACAAGCAAATACTGGCTTGTGAGCTTAAATGAAGAGGAATTCCCTCCTCGGAGAGCTGCATACCACAGATCTCAGTCTATTGCCTATTTTTATGACCATTTTGAATGTAATGCTGTTCCCTAATTGTAAAGTGTAATCGATCACTGAACAACTAAAGGTTACAAATACGTTTTTTTAAAGGTTACAATATTACTTTTGACTTTCATTTTCACAAGATAATACTTATTAGTTTCAAGCAGTACCATGCATTTATTTTGAGGGAGGGAGGTATTTTATTTCAAAAGCTCTGTGCTAAAATCATAAAATAATATTCTGAACCATTTTAATCAACATGTCACAARTCTGAAAGTATTAGAAATTAGAAATTGCTTGTGTAGTATGTACAAAAMCCCAAGATTTGTTACTGAAAGTTAMAAGGTTTTATTTCAATTTCATTCATAACAATACAGGCATTATTTACATTAAAAGAAACACAAATGTCTGTTTAGACTGGAGGAGTTGAGGTGTGACAGGGAAGAATATTTCCTTGACGTTTTGTTTAAAAGACTTTTTAGGCACTTCCTGCARACAGGTAGATGAATCAAAAAGCTAGCTGAGACTTGAAATTTAAAATACATTGGTGTGTGCTTTTTTTTTTTTTTTTTAAATCAGTTCGTATTGCATTAGACCCTAGAGACTATAACTGACATGAGGATGGAAGGAGCGAGGCAGGGATCAGAGGAGCTGCTCAAGCGCAGGCTGCAGCGTGGCCCACACGGCTCCCTGCGTCTTCTGGAGCTCTGGGCTGCTCCCCTCCAGTCCTGACTTGAAGTTTCTTTAAAAGTTGGAGTTAATGTGTGAGAGGCATTGCAGGATGGCCGCTTAAAATGGCAAGYGTAAGCACAAAGCCCCTCTGCTGTCATGGCCTGAACTATCTTTAGCTGGTTAGCAAGAAGGGCAGTTGCCTGTCAAAATATCTTCATTCTCCTTATTTTATCACTCCTCTATGCTGAAATTACAATTTTAGAAGAAAAAATAAGGATTTTTGGAGATGACTRTATGCTAGGTGGAAGCTCTTCAAGGGTAAATATTGATACAAGTTTGTTATCATTGGGGTAAAGCTACCTGCATCCTTATCTACTTCAAAATGCTGTTGATGAACTACTAGTAGTGTGACTAATGGCATTAGCACTTCTGATTTAAAGGTACCCCGTGGGTTTGAGCTGTTGAGGGAATGTATATATTGCTTTGCCAGCTGCAGTGTGTCTTCCAACGTAATCTCAGAAAGATGGGAGCTAGCTGAAAGGAGCGTGTTGGAAAAAATGTGCATTTCTGGTGGCTGAAGCCATATGCACCATGGTACTATTTCTTGTGTRGACTTGAGCGCTCACCTTCTGGTGCTACAGGATGTCTGCTAACTATYTGATATGACTATTGCTACTCTTTCCTCCTATCTCTTCTTGAATGTATAACTTGTGCCTTTTAAGTTAACTCTGGTGTTAAATGGTAAAGCAGTGCTATAGTATTTTTGTATATAAAAACTGCACTTTAGGGAAAACCTTGCTCAGAAAGCAAATTTCCAGAAGTAAACTTTAAGATTTTAAAATAGGGTTTACAGTATTAAGTATTTTAAGGCAGCATTACAGGCAAGGGGCACTTTATTTAATATTTTTGTATGTAATATTTTTGTTATCATCATATAGCCAAAAACAGAGCCACAAATGTATGTTGTAGAAATAACTTTTTTCTATCAAGTTTATTTGAAAGAGCCAAATATAACAACTTGAACTATGGTACTAGTTCACCAGTGGAACCCATTTTTGTATTATGAGCCTAACTGCTTCCATTAGATAGGTTTGATTCTGGTTTGTGCTTTACACGGCTGCTTTGAATGTTCACAACTTTTCACTCTGTGCTTATCTCCCAGTTCAAGCAATTATTGGAAGTTATGATAGCGTTGTGTGTGCCTGTTTCATCTCAAGAGCATACCTGAAAGTGAACCTGAGAACCAAAAGGAAAATTCAATAGAAGAAAGGTTCAAGTAGTGTAGTTTTCAGTGTATTTATCTACTAAAAACTGGGAAGAATTCCATGTTAAATATATATTTTTAATATAAACCATGTTGAACACTTTCAGAAAGTCAATTATTATTTCTGAAAGTGTTTGCAGATGAGTGTGGTCTTATCTCCAATACCTGAAAAAGATACCAGTTTTGGTACTGGAAATGTACATAAAAATGCTGAATAATTAAATTATTWTGGAAAAAATTTTCAGTACATTTTTTATTATCTTTTTAATTTCAGTGAACATTTTATTAAAAGGCTTAAGCAGTGCAATTTAGTTTCTGTACCACTCTATTGGAAAAAAATCTTTATTATACCCAACATAATCTTTATTATACCAAACATATGTGATGGGAGAGAACTTTGTGTTGGTTCCTTTGTCAGTATTAATCAAACTGTCAGCAAGGAGCAGGAGAGCAGCTTTATTCTTGGGAACAAGACAATCACATTTAGACGGCTGCATTTTTCCTAATTGGATGGCGAAGTGTGTATTATGTATTTACTGCCCCTTAAAGTCAGTGCAGTGTAATTAATGTTTTAAAACAAAGCCTGCACTCGAGGCTCAAAGTGCAGGTTTGGGCAGCCGAGTGGAATCAGATGCTCGTGTCCGTGCTGGAATGGAGAGCAGTGAGGGTGATTCAGAAGCTCATCGCTCCTGGCTGCGCTTTCCCTGTGGAGAAGGGTCCATGGGAAGGAAACGGGCCTGGGGAGGGATCTATGGTCGTGGCCACGCTTTGCTTTAATGYAGAGCGAAACATAAAGGCAGGAAATGTGAAAATGTTTACGAAATCGTCACTGTGTTATGGGGAAAACTAGCAGATATAACGAATGTCCAGAAATGTGTGTAAAAAAAAAAAAAAAAAAATTGTATCTGCTAAAGTAGCAGACAAAAATGATTTGTAAATGTTAATTTCCCCATTATATATTGTTACTTTCTTATGCTATTGTCTGCTAACTGCTGCGTTCATGGAGAGTTGTATTGTAAGATTTCTGCCCCCTGCCTCAAGTAAATCCGTATTTATGTTGTAATTCCACTGTCACGAAGAGAGCCCTGCTCAGCTCTTCCTTTCAAGAAAGAGTATTTTATTCTTTAATAGCTAATAAACTTTTTTCTTTTACATTGCTTTAAACTGCTTGCATTTCCTTTCTAACTTTGACCTTTCCTCTGTGTGGCTGCCTTTGAGGTACTGTCAGGTATAGTTTGGCTTTGTTTAATTTGCTCCTCCAGAACGTGCATGCAATCAAACACTCTGAGTCCCCATCAGCACCATTCCATCTGTACGCAGTCCTTGTTTGAATGCAAGTGTTATTAAGTAATTGGTAGCACATCGAGGCATTTGTGCTGAGATGTTTGATGTTAACCATCACAAGTGTTTGAAACTGATTTTTTTTTTTTTCTTCTCTCCCTGTCTAGGAGATGAAATTTATCAGGACATTTTTCGTGACTTTTCTCAAATGGCGTCAAATAATCCAGAGAAGCTAAACCGTTTCCAGCAGGCAGACTCTCCGAAGTCTTAGGTTGTCAAGAAGGACAAGAATCAAACCCCATCCTTCTCTTACAGTGCAAGTTTTTTTGTCCTTTTTTTTTTTAAGAATGATTTATAAGCATTTTCCTAGATATTTAATAGTTTGAATAAAGTGACCACTCCAGTGTAGCTTTAGACTGTGGTAGCTGGGGAAATAAATGTATTCTGGGGAAATGTTGCTCTGCAGTACATATACCTCAGCAGTTCAAAATGCTTAAAGAGAAGTGACAAAATGATTAGATGGCCTTTGCTAGTGAGTATTTACTGCTGTCATCAGTCTCACTGTTGCCATAAAGAACATGCCCCTGGCCAGGAAATCTTCTTTTTATTTCTCAGTCTGTTTGAAAGGGAAACTGGATAGTGACTTACTGATTTGTCTTTTGATTTGTGAGCCCCTTATAAGATCTTATTCCCACTGATAGACTGTTAATAACTAGACATAGTAACTTAAGCTCTTCTGCAAGCTCTGTTTTAGTGCAACCTTGAACACCAGGCTGGCCTTTATGCTCGTGACTGCGGGTCAGTCACAATAGGTATATACCTGGAAGGACCAAATTTCTAAGAGCAGTGTATTTTCCTTTTTTAATTTCTTGCTGTGAAGAGAGTTTTCTTTCAGATGAGCATATGGAGCCTTTCATGAAAAAGTAAGTTTGATCCTGCTGGACCCCTCGTCCACTATCTTGACTTCAACATTACAAACTTGAGACCTAAAAGTAGACATTGAGCCAAAGGACACTTAATGCAGAATTGTCAGGCGGAGGCTGTGTCACCTTTTCCCTTTGCTGTTCTGAGTATTAGCCCAAAGCCAGCTATATCTAAAAGCACTCGTGTAATGCAGACATCTTAAATTTAGGCCAGCTGACTCTTTATATCACAGCATGTATAATATAATCCGCAATACTGTATATACTATAATCTGCAATACTGTATATACATACTTATTCTCTAAGGTGTGCAGGAAAAAAAGAGGAATTTGCTAAGTAACAAGTGAACTTAGTCCCTAGCAGTCCTCACCCTGAGGACAGCAACCCAGGATTTTTCAGTAAGCTCCATTCTGCAGACTTGCATGCGTAAACGATGTCTGCAGAGATGTGCTCATGTATGAGGATCCTTAATACCTACATAATAATCTCCCAAAGCTCCAAGCCAGTGGATGCAATTCTCTATACTCTATTTGTTTTGAAAATGTAGGGATAATTTTTAGGTAAAGTAAAATCAATGTGAATTTTTTTTTTACATAGTCCTTATTAACCATAGCAGTAAGCTACCCTGCTGTTTAAGTGTATTTGGGAAATGAGCTATCATTTTTCTCAAGCTGACTTAGCCAAAATGGATTTTTGTAAATTGTGGTAAAATTAAACTTTCTAGCATGGTATTTGWAACAAAGTATTTTATGTATTTATCATTTTGCAGCAAATGTATAACAACACACGAAATATGGATGACTCTTGATGCTGAATTAATGGCATTTTAGAAGTATTTTGATAAATACTTTTTCCAAGTAGAAGCATCTATAAAACAGCTTTGCTTTGTATATGGTATAATTATGCTGAGAAAAGCTGTTTCTGCCCATTTAAAAAGTGCATTTATTTTGAATATTAAGAAACTTAATCTCATCTGTAAGCAATAGCTTCTAATAAGCTGTTTTTAAATAGCTGTCTATGAAATGTATCTGATTTGTGAGTCCTGATGTGTAGTACTTAAGAGCAGTAGATCTTTAATTAGTCCATCGTAGGAAACAGAATCCCCAGTGTACAGATGGGACAATGTAAGATATGGCTATGTATAGCATAGACTTTAAATATATGGTGTTTTCTAAAGATTCATGTCTTCTGTACCTATGTGACAGGCAATATACACGGCGAGTGGCTGTAATGTAAAGCTTAATGGCATAATCACCGTCCTGCGGTGCTCGTGGGAACGCGGATCCGGCCTCCGTGTCGGAGGGCCCTGGCGGGGAGCCCCATCCCAGCGCTGCTGCTCCCCTCGCAGGTCCTCCTTGTGCTCCCGGCCCCGTGGGAGCAGAGCCAGCTGGGGCTGTTCGTGCTCGGTGCCCTGCGCCTCGTGTGCACGTCGCTGCTCTGCCCAGGAGCGACCRCGGCGGCTCTGCTCCCCTCCAGCCCCCAGGCTCCTTCCCTGCTCCTTTAGGTACGCTGAGAAATGCATCTGCTTAAAGCACGTTTCAGATCGATGTGGCACGTGTGTTAGCGTGTTCCTCATCAGCAAAAGTGAATATGCCATTAAGTTATGAAATGCACTGAGGGTTTATTTCTCCTGGACGTGGGCAACCTCAGGGCTCCAGGGCCTCCATCCTCTGCAGGCCTCCGTCGTAAGCACGTGTCCCAGTCTGTGCAAAGGTTGGGAGTTGCCAGGCGAGTTCTAGATCCAGTTCTAGTGTTCTGCTGAGTAGTACTAGGAAACTTCTGCTTTTATTACAATATGAATCTGAAGATAACTTGAAATCTAGGTAGTAAAGCTCTGCCCTGTGTTAACCTCATCTTGTACCATGTAGCAGGTCGTGGGAAGCTTCAATTCCAATTCGGGTTTCTCCAGAAGTATGAAATATAATAGCTCACAGTCAGTGGGATGCAAAACAATAATGAGCATTCATAGGGATTTTCAATAATTTTACCATATAAGCCACAAAAGGATTTTATGTTCCTCTTCGTCAGGGCTAGATAAAGTGTTCCAAAAGTCTCTTGGAACGACAAATGTGTAAGAGCTCAACATATATTCTAACCTCTTCATTTCAGAGATATAGTTTACTTAGGTTGCATGTTGAGTTGTTGTCTCATTACAGGTCTATACTGTTTTGATCGTTTGATTAGGTTTCCCATTTTATGGAATGATTCCCTGTTTTCTGTTGGTACTGTGCATATAAACATTTCTGAATTATCTTACTGAATAATGCCATTGAATTGTATTTGACATGTGGAAATTCTGTCCCATTCCAAGTCCAAGTGACATGGTAGTCTGTAGAAGTCTTGCTTCACTTTCAYGAGCTGTTTATCAATACGTTGTAGATCTTACCTCCTTCCCTCCCTATCTTCCTTACCTCCCTTCTACTGATCAGGATAAAATCCAGCAAGTCATCAAAATCAGTGGCAGCTCTTGCACTATTTTTGGAGGCTTTGCACCTTTATAACATTACTGTGTTAAAGGATGCTGTATTAWTACTGCATTTTCCACTCCTTAGGTTTCTCTATTTAACCTGTATATGTGCAGAGCTTGAACACCTGTAGCAAAGGGAGCAGCCCTTCTGCCTGCTGCCAGCATAATCCTCTGTGCAAAAGGAATTTTCTCCTATTTTGCGTTAGTATGTCAGTGCTCAGCAGGTTATTATCAGGGCTCTTTGAAAGTGCAAAAACTTACGGAGAAAAAGGTGAGAAACTTGGGTAAGCAGCAGCCTGGCTGATCTCCATGGCTGCAGAAAAGCACCACAGTCCTGTTCTAAAGCGTGCCTGTTACCTCTGCATTTTAATAATGCAAAATCTCCAACTGGCACAGCGACGAGGAAAGGACCATCTCATGGAATTAAAGCATTTATTTACGAATTATGTTAAAATAYGAGGGGAGCACTATTTTTTATATAATGAAATTGCTCAAGTTAATTATTGATGTATGGAGTATTCAGGAAGTCAGTTTAGGAAGGGAAAAGGAGCCTGTCCTTGGCACAGCTGGGCTGCCCTGGGGCCTCATGTCCCTGCGCTCTGCCTGCCCGAGGCAGCCGCCCCCCTTGGATCCATCCCGCTCACTTTGCCTGGCTCGCTCCCCTTCCCGGGGAAGAGGAGGACCGGGGCGCGAACAGCCTGCGCCCTTCTGTGTTCCCATCCCTGAGTTCCCATGTTTTGATGGAAATTGCTGAGAAATCTTGGCTTCCTCACGCTGCCCTGTCTGTTYGGAACCCCCGATGTTTTCTCCATGCTCCTGCCTGTGTCTCGGCCGTCTCCCTGGACAGCCTCAAKGCGGGAGCCCCTGTGTGCGGATGGAGGCTGCAGCTCCTGGCCCTCCGCCTCGGATGTCGCTCGTCCTTGTGGAGGAGGACGGACCCTCCGTCCCCTGCGTCGCCGCGCGCCTGTACAGTGTGTAAGGACTGTAAATACTGGACTCCATTAAACCTTTGGACCTTCCCTGCGCTCTGCTAGTGCTCAACTCCTGCGAGGGGGCGGGGCCTGGGCTAAGGCGGGTCCTCAGGGGGCGGGGCTTTGTACGTCTCGGGGCGGTCTGGAGATGATTGGGGCGGGGCTTCGTGGAGCATAAAGGCTTTTTGCGGGAGGGGGCGGGGCCTTTATGCAACGAAGAGGCGGTCTCGAGGTGAGGAGGCGGGGCTTTGAGGATGAGGGGGCGGTCCCTCCGGGAGGGGGTGGGACTTTGACTTGTGAAGGGGCGGATCCGCGGAGAGGGCGTGGCCTTCTGGTCATGCATTCCGAGGGGGCGGGGCCTTGTTCTGCGAGGCGCGGTCCGTGCGGGGGGCGTGGCCTTGCACGGGGGGGCGGTCCCTGCGGCGCGGGGGCGTGGCCGCGGGCAGCATGGCGGCGGCGCGCGGGGGCGCGCGGCGGCGGTAGCGGCGCATGGCGCGGCCGGGCTGGCTGCGCTCGCAGCCCTGCGCGCTGGCGCTGCCCGCGGAGCGCGCGCTGCACCTGCTGCTCATGTTCAGCAAGGCGGAGCGCAACGCGGCGCTGCGCGCCAAGGGCCAGGCCGCGCTGCGCTCCCTGCTGCGCCACGGCCGCTTCGCGCGCGGCGACGCGCTGCGCCTGCACCTCGTCACCGAGCGCGCCGCCAGGGACGTCGCCGAGCGGCTGCTGCGCGACG